GGGGCATTTATTAAATAAAACAAGACAAGTTTCTCCAGGACATGAATTGCTTATTACTAGGAGAAGAGGAAACAAACAAACAAACAAACAAACAAACAAACAAAAAAGGGGGGGTTCCCCTAGATAAAATAATGTAAATTTTATTTCCAGTAGACTCATGGCAAGAATTATAATGCAAAAATATACTTCCTGCCCACCACTATGATTTCAAAGAAAGCTGTCTGCATCCCTTGTATGCATGGCAAGTTGCATGTGTGTCTGTTAATGAAAACTGAATATTATACTTAGGTTTCTCTGTGCAAAAATGCTGAGTAAAGCTGTGCTATGGAACTTGTAAGACTTTTTTTATTTGTTTCAAATATAATGTAGACACCAAGGTCATCACCACATTGACTGCTATCACCTATTGCAGCAAATAATCTTCTTTATGTCTTGATGCAAAAAAAAAAAGCATAGTCATCCTGATCTCCCTTCCTAGAAAGTTTACAAAAGCTGGCAGCAGYCAGCCAAAATCCTTCCAGCAGAGCCTCATGACTTCAGACTTGGGTATTAGTGGGTATTACATGAAGTGATAAATGAAGATCAAATTTTGAAGGGAAATGCTTAAGAAAACACTGAAGACAGATTGTTTCTYGTGATTAAAAAATCCTAAGCATCTCAAGACAGAATTAGGGATGATGGTACCAAAGTAAGAGACCTCAGGAATCTGAACAGAATCTGCCTCCCAACACTGGCAGGATGTACCCAGCAGCTTCATTACCATTTATTAATCTAACCTTTAGACTTGCAATGAAGACTTTATGACCTCCTTAGATAGTATGTTCCAAAAATTAATGCTTAAAGAAAGAAGGATATTTTTATGATATCAAATCTAAATTATTTTTGCAGCTTGTTTCTTTTTTTCTTTGCAAAAGAAACCAGTGATTTCTTCTCCTCCAAATATAAATGAGAAAGATTTGATTGCTGTCCTTATTACACCTTTTTTATGTTGAATGTTGTTGAGTCCTCGCTGGCATTCTAGACTATAAGGGGAAAATGCCCAACTCATTCATTTTTTACATATGCTTTTCATATATCAATAACAGGCCACTGTTTGCTGGTTTTATTCTCCAGGGCATTCAGCTATTTTTTACTTTTTTTTTAAATATCACCCACAGCAGATGTCTAGAACTAGGTGATTTTAAAGTTCCTTTCCAAACCAAATCTTTTTGTGATTCAATTAAAAAATCATGCCCCATTTCAAAACAGTGCTCCAGACATCCTTTTTGAAGACAGGCACTTTGCTGCTTCTCTCCATTCTTCTTGGACTATCCCATCTACATTTATCCCCTGAGAAGATTTCTAATTGTTCAGAGATTGCTTAACTTATGCTTAACGTATGCTTAACTTTGGCTTAACTTATAATTGATTCATTTCTCCAAGCTGAATGAATTTGACTCAATCAGGCAGTCTTTAATCTCACATTTCACTCTTTTTGTTTCTATCCCTATCCCCTTCCAAATTATTTTAAATATCTGCTTATATTTAATCTTTTGTTTTTCAATTTGAGGCAGAAAATGCATTATTGTTTTCCTGCATCTTCTCTGCAGCCTACTTTACTTGCTCTCCTACCCTCACAAATAATGGAATAAAATTTTCTCATCTCCTTTCCTTTATAGTAGTCATAGGCCATTGCCTGTCCAGCAAATAAAAAATTGCTGTACTTCATTCCTGTCATGTTAGTACCAGAGAAACTTGGCAGTTTTGACCCAGAGCCAAAGACCCCCTGAACCTTCCTAGAACTGCTCAGTGAACTTAACTCCACTGTCAGTGTTGTTGTGGCATTAGGAATGAAGCTCAAGGAACAGAATTTTATAGAGTGACAATGATGCCTGAATCTTGAGAATGTTCAGAAAACATTCAGGAGAAGTGGATTTTTACCCTTGTTGAGAGAAGGGAATGGACCTGCATGTCTGCGGAGAGCAGCAGAGGCTGACTGGAAAGCTTGGTATCAGAGCAATGACATGGGAAAAACAGTCAGGCAAAGATTTCCTCGTGTCCTCCTGTATTCCCCAATCCTGTATTTGTGTGCTAGAACTGAAATTACTTGTGAAAGGGAAATAAGGGGAAATTTTACATTTGTATAATATCATAAAAAAATTAGTGCAAATTTTGATACTCAAAGAAGCTAAAATATAATTTTTTTTTTTTTTCTTAAGATACTATTTGTTTTATTTGAAAAAGAGCCTGGAGTTCAATTATGGTATTTTAATTTTGAACATTATAACAAGTTCGTGCATACACATTGTACTCTTGGGCAGCTCTTCACACATGTTTGACAATAAAACCCCTTTCTATTTATCATTGTGCAGCTACCCCAAGGTTAAATGCACCCAGGTACTCATCACTGGAAATGTGATATGTTAACACTTCTAATTAATAGCAATAAAAACATGGCAAAGGTGCAACTGTGAACATAAACTTGCAGGAGGACAGGTAAATGAGGTTTTGGAATAAGGAGAGAAAAGTCCATATTATTGCTAATTGTTGACAGAGCTGATAGAGCATTGCTTCATCTGTTCCAGTTCTGAGYRTGTCCAGGGAAGAGAACAGAGCTGGGGAAGGGTCTGGGGCACAAGGAGCAGCTGAGGAAGCTGAAAAGGCTCAGTCTGAAGAAAAGGAGGCTCAGGGGGGACCTTCTGGCTCTGCACAACTCCCTGACAGGAGAGKGSAGCCGGGTGGGGGKTGGTCYCTTCTTTCARGTGGCAAGAAATGAGACCAGAGGAAATGACCTCAAGGTGATCCAGGGGAGGGTTAGGTTGGATATTAGGAAAATTTTCTTTACAGTCAGTCATCGGAACAGGCTGCCCAGGGAGGTGGTGGGATCACCGGATCACCATCCCTCAAAGTATTTAAAAGATGTGCAGATGTGACACTGAGAGATATGATTAAGAGGTGGCTTGGCAGTGTTGGGTTAATGGTTGGACTCAATGGTCTTAGAGGTCACTTCCAAATTAAATGGTTCTGTGATTCCTGTACCATTCAATTAAGCCATGCAGGACATGGACCCTCAAAGTGGTGACCAGCTAGCCCAGTCCACACCCTGCAGGAGAGTTAAACCCTTGCTATAAACATACAAAAATTGYATTCCAATCACCCAATTCTGCAGCTTTACTCAACTGAAAGAGACAATTCTTTCTGTTTGATGGCCCAAAAATGACAGTGTGCAAGACAGCTGTGCCTTGAGAATTTGAACAACTCAACCTAAACTTACCAGGGAATTCAAGGTCCTGCAGGCCAGAGATGCTGGTTCATAAGAGAGCAGCATTTCCACACRGGCTTTTTGCTAACTGCAAGATTCCTCTAACACTGTTTATCTTTCACTGGGGACACTGCTCCGCAGTAAAGCAGGTAACATTCACACAACCTGACAGCTTCTGCTGTAATTTTCCCTGTCTAGAATGGCTGTCAGAAGTCTGCTTCGGGCAACATAAGCAGCTGTATGAATCCAAACAATTTAAATCTAAAGACAAACTCAACAGATCTTTCGTTGCATGCACTTGATTATTTGCAAATCTCCTGTTGTCGTGTTTCTGGTTTTGATATACGAAAATTTGCTTTATGTCTGCTTTGGTTCATCCAGCTCTTTTCCTACAGAAAGTGAAGACTCACAGACAGAGGCAGAAACATCTGCAATCTACTCCTTTTTCTGCTCAGTAGTGTCTCAGTAGACTCCTTACATTGGCCAGAATTTTCTCCAGGCTAGATCCAAAGTGTGCATTCCACTTTCTAATTCAAATTAAAATTTATGGTTTTAATTGTTTTAATTATTATTTGAAAGCCAAATTTAATTTTTATTTGAAAGCCAAACCATTTTGGATGGTTTTTTTTTTTAAATTTTGGCATATCTATTTTCCCCCAAGTTGAAATCCTCTAATGGTAAAAAAAAAAAAAGAGTATATATGTATATATTCTTTTCAACCTACACATTTTGTGAATATGTATGTATATGTGACACATAGCTTTTATTTGTTAACCTTTTCAGTAAGATCAGCTACAGTTCTACCATTCTGTCACAGAATGGTAATAGCTGTTGACTTCCTACACTGTGACTGTGAAAAATAAAATGAAACTAAATCTGTATTAAATTTTAGTTTATTAAAAAATCACACATCTAAAATACTTAGGAATTGAATACAAAGTCAAAAGCAGTCAAAAGCAGTCATGAAACACTGACCACATCTGACTTTTCTGAATGTCCTCTCACATGAGCTAAGGGAACTCCTTGTCACAGGAGGAGCTCTGGAGAGCCAGACAGAGATATAATCAGAGAAAATAAACCCATACCTTTTCTAGATAATTAATGTGGAGCAATGGCTTAGCCAGTGTTCAACTCTCCATCAGTACCACAAGCGTGTCAATTTTCATACAGTGTGGAAATTTKTGTACTATCGTTGAGAAGTTCCAATGACTCAGTAGGCAGAGAATCATAACACTAATTATTCTGGTTATTTACAGTATAATTTTTCCTTTATCCTGTATGAAGAACCATTTTCATTACACCTGCTGATTTCTCAAATAGTCCCTTTAATTTATACTCTTTGGAAGAAAACTTGTGGTTTTAAGTGTTTCAAGCTGAATCCCTTAAACCTTGAAAGATGTAGTGGGATGACACAAGGAATTTCCAGTATGAACCCTAGACCTGAATCAAACTTCATGTGCTCCTGTATTTGCAGCCCATTTGGGATATAATTCAATGCCCATTAAAATAAATTCGTGTCTTCATTTCTTTTCTGAACATGGAGAGTGTCAGTATAYGAGGCCTGTAAATTTAAGCACCTGCAGATGAATCTGGTATTTCGCTTTAGACAGACACTTCACAGTTTTCCATTTGTTTAACCGGTGACAAAAACTTTAAACATTTGAGCTATTTTTCTGACTGCTGGAGGATGAAACACCTGAGGGATGATTTTCTCTCCCTTTATATATGCACACATATAAACTTKGTTTTCTCATTCCAGGTCATGGAACCAAAGGAGTGTTTGAACTTCTTTCAGGATGGCGTCGGACCAGAGAGAATCTGCCATTCAAGGACCGAGTAGCWGATGCCTACTCAGATGTCATGGTCTCCTACACCATGACCAGCTCCTTGTATTTCATAGCCTTCGGCATGGGGGCAAGCCCTTTCACCAACATTGAAGCTGTAAAAGTCTTTTGCCAGAACATGTGTGTCTCCATCCTGTTGAACTACTTCTACATCTTCTCTTTCTTTGGCTCCTGCCTGGTCTTTGCCGGCCAACTGGAGCAGAACCGCTACCACAGCATCTTCTGCTGTAAAATCCCCTCGGCAGAATACCTGGACCGGAAACCTGTGTGGTTCCAGACCATGATGAACGACGGCCATCATCACACCTCTCACCACGAGACCAACCCGTACCAGCACCACTTCATCCAGCATTTCCTCCGAGAGCACTACAACGAGTGGATTACCAACATCTACGTCAAGCCATTTGTGGTGATACTGTATCTCATCTATGCCTCYTTCTCCTTTATGGGGTGCTTACAGATCAGTGACGGAGCCAACATCATCAACCTTCTTGCCAGCGAGTCCCCGAGCGTCTCCTATGCCCTCATACAGCAAAAGTATTTCAGCAACTACAGCCCCGTGATAGGCTTCTACATCTACGAGCCTCTGGAGTACTGGAATGGTACTGTGCAGGAAGACCTAAAAACACTCAGCCAGGGCTTCAACACYGTGTCCTGGATCGAACAGTATTACCAATACCTTCGGGTGGGCAACATCAGTGCAACCAACAAAAGCGACTTTATCAGCATCCTCCAGAGCTCCTTTTTAAAAAAGCCAGAATTCCAGCACTTCAAAAATGACATMATTTTCTCCAAAGCTGGAGATGAGAACAACATAATTGCTTCTCGTTTGTACCTTGTGGCCAGGACTAGTGAAAACACGCAGAGGGAAGCGGTGGAATTGCTGGAGAAGTTGAGACCACTCTCTCTTATACAGAGCATCAAGTTCATTGTGTTCAACCCTACTTTTGTTTTCATGGACCACTATGGTTTATCAGTAACTATGCCCGTCCTTATTTCTGGTTTTGGCATCCTGCTGGTGTTAATACTGACCTTTTTCCTGGTTATCCACCCTCTGGGAAATTTCTGGTTAATTCTCAGTGTCACCTCAATAGAGTTGGGTGTCCTTGGCTTGATGACCTTATGGAATGTAGACATGGATTGCATTTCTATACTGTGCCTTATCTACACCTTGAATTTTGCCATAGATCACTGTGCACCCCTGCTTTATACATTTGTATTAGCTACTGAGCACACCCGAACTCAGTGTATAAAGAACTCCCTCCAAGAGCATGGGACAGCCATTTTGCAGAACGTTTCTTCCTTTCTTATCGGGTTGGTCCCCCTTCTCTTTGTGCCTTCAAACTTGACCTTCACACTGTTCAAATGCTTGCTGCTTGCYGGCAGTTGCACACTTCTGCACTGTTTTGTTATTTTGCCCGTCTTTCTAACCTTTTTCCCACCTTCCAAAAAGCACCACAAGAAAAAGAAACGGGCCAAAAGGAAGGAACGAGAAGAGATCGAATGCATAGAGATTCAGGAGAATCCTGATCACGTTACAGCAGTCTGAAAGGCTTAGAAAAATATAATAGTATATTCTCTTTTTAAAAAAAAAAAAAGCGTTGCACAGAGATGCAGGGAAAATAGAGCAAAGATCTCAGCTGCTTGTGCTGGCCAGGTCTGACAAGGCAAAGGAAGATCAAGAAGGGGTATTCATGACACCTCAAGGTGCAAACTTTTTTTTAACAAAAATAATGAAAATGAAATAATCTCTAATGTTTCCTTTGAATCCTCATTCTACATCAGAGAACAGTCTGTTGGCCACAAAGTGTTCCTGAGTCTCAAGCTGTAGCTCTAATGGGAATTGCTTAATATGTCATAAGTAGTATTGAAGCAAAGGTGAAAAAAAGGAGTAACCATTGGGTAAACCTTAGGGAAAAAGGCAGATTTGTTTGAAAAAATTATCCATGGAAGAGAAAGAAACAATATTTCAAATGAGAAAAGTTTGTAAGACCAAGAGAGATTGAAAATGCCATGGTAATTTTTTATTTTCTTGAGCAAGTTAGTTAAGATGAAACCTATGCACTCGGGAAGTAAATGTTTAAAACKATCTAAGCCAAAGTACTTCCCAAACTAGTATACCTTGTATATCTGTAACAYCACAATTAGAGTATTATTGCAAATTTGAATGGGAAAGGGATAYTGTTTATATAGGAGAAGAAATAATCATAGCCATTTGGAAATTTAGCACTTAGTTCCTTTAAATGTGACATACCACTGTTATCCCAAGAGGCCACAGCTGGTAGTTAATACCATACACACATTTTGGTATTTCTGAATTATGAATTTCCCCTTGAATTAACAGATCTCACAAAACCAACCCAGGCCATCRCCACTGCAGCACTGTTCACAGTTCCTGCAGTGTAACAGTTCTGAATCCTAATTTATCGGTGTTGACATTAAATACTGAATATTAATCAAGCAGGCGCTTTAAACGTAATGATGGATTGCATTTCACAGGCACAACGTGACYGTGTAGCAGCTGAGTCAGCTCTGGAGCACCTGCACAGTATTATCATTATATATTTGGTCTGAGGGATGAGAGGATATGTCTGCTGGTCCCTGCAATATGCTGCAGGAAGTGGGATTTTCCCCTTCTTTAAGCAAAACATTATTCAAAAAAWTTGCCACACACTAGAAAAACACCTTGTAAAGGTTTGCATGGGGCTGGATCAACCCCTGGTTGTCAGAAGACGGATCAGTCCCCTGTGGGAAGGGGCGGGGAGGGTGAAATGTCCTTTTTATTGCTATTATTATTCCTAAATATTTGAGTGTTGATCATCTGCAACATAAAGCTTTGTTATGGCAGTTGAAATTTCACAGGAGAGTGCAGTAAACCCGCAGTTACTATGTGGCACTAGAAATTGTACTGTAAAGGACTATGAATGACTTTCTCTGCTTTGTAAACTATCCAGCTTCRTAGCCCAAGGGAAGGGATGAAAACAGATCTAGCCATTTCAGTTTGCTCTCAGCCCAGTTCTGCACTGGAGCTTGCCATGTCGATCTCTCCTTTCAGTATTTTAAAAGGGCTTGCTTCCTACTCTCTGGAATATGGTATAGCATCACCTCCATGAGCAATGTCTTCCTGATCCTATAGTATCCATGACGACACTATGTAAAGAAATCACTATATGGAGTGTCTCTGTCTACTTTGTGTTACTTGTGGGTACCTTTAAATGATAATCTGGAGGCTGTTTGCCTTCCAAAATGTGTATACATGTCTATTTGTGGCTGGTAACTCAGTCTCAAACCTGCAGARTTTGCTGATGAGGGTATGTACATATGTTTTACTAAAAAGCTCTCTGCAAGATGTTAATTCTATGTGATGTCTCACCTCTTCCTACTGTTTTGTGGTTAGGAAGAGCCAGAAAAAAATTCACCTGCAGCACAAAAAAAAAGCCATTTGAATGCCAGTTCTAATGTTCATGAGCTGCTTCTGTTTCCAAGGAATGCAATTTCACCTCTTCTCTATACTTTCTGTATTTTGCCATCATCATTTGCCAAAAATGACCTCTGTGTTTTAGGAGTGGTCAAAGCTCTTGATTGTGGGAAGAAACTTTTCAGTGCAACGTGTCTGGAGAGAGAGAAACTTTCTAGATGGGCAAAGCTTCCAAAGTTTGAATCTGGATCTAAACTTCAGGGGTAGCTGGATCAAGGTTACCGGTTTGACCAAAATATTCAAGGGCCAGATGCAGAACTGAGATCTAAATAGTTCAGCAASGTTTAAGAGCAGGGATGTTTTAATGTTGGGTTATGGCTCAGATGTGTCTCTTTTTGGGAGGTTTTTATTGTCCTTGATTTGCATCTTTTAACATYGTGCAATATCCATCCTGTTTTGAGCAGCCCATTGTGAATGTCAAGTTTCCCATTCTTTTCCTAGATTTTCTCCAGTGCACACACGAAACCTGAATTGTTGCAGCACTGTGACCCTTGGTCATCACTTCTGGAAGTGCTCCCTGGGAAATTCCTGGTCTTCTCTTGTACTGCCCAGATGTATTCCAGGGATGTTTGTCACAMATTTTGTTGAGAGAAATAGCACTTTCCAAAGCCATCAAGGCCAGGACTCGTCTAACTTAATATAGATATAAGTTATATGTAACTTAATTATAACATATAAGTTATGTGTAACTTAATATAGATATTAATAATGCAGATATTTATATCTGAACTTCCTTTAAGGCCATGAGAGTGACAGACATTTCTGATCCATTTTAGAGTTGTATATTAGGAATAAATGAATCACATTTTTTAAAATGCAGCTTTCTGTCCATTGGTGGTCAAGGAAGCTCAGCACCATTAGTTCAAACACAGACATCATCAATGCGGACTCATCMAGACCTGGGGAGATTAACCCCATTTAAAATGACAAAATATCAAGAGAAACAGAAAATATTATTAACATGCCTYCTTCAATTTTAGGGATAAATCCCAGGAATAGCTCAAATTTTATGTTTTGCTTATGAAGTTCTATGCAAAACAGATTGTTAAAAATCTGGAGTTCTCTTAGCAGAGAAGGGTGAGCTGAGACATCAGAAGATGTCAATATTAAAGGTGGGCTCACACAAACGAACTAGAATTTGATGAGGTGTCAAACCAACTCCTCTCAGTGTCATGCATGTGCAGTAACACTTGTATAACAGGCACCAAACATACAGATCACACTCTGGGACTAGAAGGTTTTTATTTCTGTGTCAATGCAGGAGTGAAGCAGAAAACAAACCAGATCTTCCACAGATGTCATTTTGCTATTTTTGTCAACCAATTTCCACATTCACCAAAAAAGGCCAGTGCAGCTGCTACTTCTGCAGATGCATCAATCTCTGTGGAATAAGGGAAACTGGAATAATTTTGGTACGGGGAGTCCACATTTTTTAATTCCTTCTACCTGTTTTCTCTTATTTTTCTTTTGGTTCTTTTCAGTACATTATACTTTTCTACAGCACCTTTTCAGCTCAACTGGAGCTGCATAAGCTGTGAAGAAAGCACATAGCTCATGYCAAGCAATTTGACACTGATACATGCTGCATATTGGATCCCCTGCAATACTGTGCATATCCCTTTAATGTCTGATTTTATATATGGTCTAGATAATATTCCAAAAACCCTGTGTGCGTCTCCTGCTCGGTTTGATTTTATTCCCTCAAAGTATATTGCTTTGAATTAATTGTTGAGCTAACTCTGTTGAAGCCAACAGATTTATTGCCATGATATATTTGACTTTGCATGCCTTCTATCTGGTAAGAAGTGAAATCATGAAAAATGAGCCTCTTACATCGTTGGTGTGTTTATTGAACAATGTATCTGTCTATACCCTACAGCCATAGTTGCATGCTGCACTCGGGGGGCTGCAGTGAAGGTCTATTTCTTTACACTCTCCYCTGTGGGCTATTTAACCTGAATCTATTCCTCTGTCTTTTCTTCTTTTATTAGAGTTAAGTCTTCACCTCTGTAGTCCAATACTTGATGTTTAAATTAGATTTTAGGAAGAAACTGTTTACTGTGATGSTGTTGAGGCCTCAGGTTCCCCASAGAAGCTGTGGCTGCCCCGCCCATGGAAGTGTCCAAGGACAGGTTGGACAGGGCTTGGAGATGTGGAAAGTGKGCTGCTCATGGCAGATGGTTGGAAATAGATGATCTTTAAAGTCCCTTCCAACTCCWACCACTCTATTTTTCATAAATTTATTGCCTTACAAAGCAATGCACTTTTTAAGGCCAAGATAGGCATGGATGCATGGCACCTTGCATGCATAATTTAAARAGATTATCTTCAGGTTTATCATTCTCAGCTTTTTACTTCAAACAAATCCTATTTAGAGTGTAACCTGCCACATGTTAATGTCTATTCAAGTTTCTCGAACAGCTCTAGTTTTGAAATTTTCTCCGATGGGAAGGAAAAGAACCAGGGGGGAAGGAAGAATATGCAGTTAAGTGGTTGTGTAATCAGTGTTCTTTTTTTTTTCCCCAAAGGCTTTCACTGCTCTACTCTTAATTAAGTCACACTGAGTAGTAACTCTAGCATAATTAAGATTTATTTCAATGTAGTTATTCCATATTTCACTATGACAAGAGCTTGGCTTATTGTCTTTATGCAAGTACCATGCTAAGTCTCTGATTAATTTTTCAGTAATTATAAACTTTAATAAGTTATTTTTCACTGCAACACCAGRTTTTTGAGTACTTCAAGCTCTCATTTGATCTCCTAGGAAACACTGTAAGGAAGCAAAGTTAGRCAGTCAGCAAGAGATGTGTTGTGTTGGGGAAAAGGGATTCTTCACAGAGAGGCAGCTTCTCCTCCAACAAGGCTTTAAACAAACACTCAGGATACCTGAGAAAATTAAGGTGAAGTGGAAACCAAGTGAAACACTGCTGGAGAGTAGTGCAGTCAAATTATTATAGACAGATAAAACTTTGATTCTTCTTTCATAACTCCCAACACAGGCAAGAAGGTTTTGAGCAGGAAAGGAAACCGGATGCGCAAAGCAGCTCATCCATCCCCTAAAATGATTCTTT